TGCTTTGCTACCCAAGTGTACTGCAAGTGGCGCTATCGTCACAGCAGAGATGTGGATTTTGACGCTACATGGTATGAAGAGCGCTAGGACTGGGCACTGGGGTGGAGCATGTCTTCCTCTTCCCAGGGTCTCAGAGTTCATGGAATCTTCGATCCAAAATGACAACTTAGAATTCACTCAACTGTACCTCCCCACTGGTCAGAAATCCCTCCTGTATTTTAATGTATTAAATCAATGGTTCTTCAATGTGAATACACATCAGAATGACCTAGAGGCTTTTAAGATGTAGTAGATCAAAAGCCACAAAGCCACCTCCAGGGTCTGATTCTGTGGGTGAGCGGGCCTGATAAATTGCATTCATAACCAGCTCCCAAATGCTGCAAGACTTAAAAGACATTTTAAGAAGCATTGGTCAAGTGAAGTGAATATCCAACCTTACTACCCCACAAGGAGGTAGAGGTGGCCAACTGTCATACCTCTCAGTTTGCCAGGCACTTTCCTGACTTTAACATTGAAATTCCCATGTTTCAGGAGATCTTTTGATTCCAGAAAAACTGGGACAATTGGTCACACTAAGCTAAAAAAAAAATCATATGATATACATAGAAGTCCTTTGTAAATGACAAATAATTTAAAATGTAAAGGTATGATTATTATTATAATACCTTTGACAAGGAATAATTAGGCTTCTAAACTCTCCAAACTTGCCTTTTGACTAGGTATCTTATTCTCTCCACAAAGCTCTAATTGTCAGACATTTTTAGTGTATGATAAGCTAGAATCTGCTCCTCCTCCCCATGTAGCTTCCTTCCACTGTCTTAGTTTTTCTCAAGATAGGTTTCTGAATGCTTGAGGAGAATCTCACCCAAGTCCCCCTTTTCCTTCTTTATTTCAAGTTCTCCACCTGGGCAGCAGGCATCTGCTGTGCTTATGTTGAAAAGAGCAAGAGATTAAACATGTCAGAGTCAGGGTAGTGAGTGCTTGCAGCTTCCCACTGAACACAGCCACTCAGAGGCCACCATACACCTTTGAAGCTCAGACTGAGCTCTACACTGGGGAGGCTGACACAGTCCTCACTGCAGCTGTATCGAGAATGCAATGACACAATCAGAAAATGCTGAACGCAGAGTCTGGGCACAGAATAAAATCCCTGAGGTAACAACAGTTCGAGGGACCAGCAACCAATTTCCTGGGTTTCTCAACTGTGGGAGATTTACCTTCAGATGTCCAGTGGGCACTGGTGCTCCCCTATGAGGACGGGCTAGTGATGTTCACCACGTGTTGAGTGTGTGTGTGTGTGTGTGTGTGTGTGTGTAGAAATGGGAAATGAGTTTTGTTTCTGGTCTTTTTACATTGTAGGATAACCTCTTTTAAAATAATCAATAAAATTTTTCTGGGGAGCAGAAATGTCACTATATCTTAGCTTTATAATCTATCATTGAGACACCACTTTATGAGAATTTTAGCTTTCTTCTCTGTGCTTTAGGGACACCGTTCGGGATACCATCCTGGAAAAATTTGCTGGGCCCTATGACAAAGGCGAGTACTCCCCCTCTGTCCAGAAGACTCTCTATGATGTCCAGGTGCTCTCCCTGAGGCGGGCTCCTGAGGTATGTTTAGTTACTCTGCATTCCGAAGGTTGAGAGAACTTGTGTCTCCTGTCAGCTCCGAGAAAAAGTTGAGAGTTAAAATAAGAAAGTGGAAGACACATGAAAAATGACATCTGTTGTTGTTCAAAAGCTTGTTATAGCAAGTGAGAAGGGAGCAAAAAATGGAAAAGTCTGTCCAACCTAAAAACACAGGCCACTGTCACAGATCTTTAGTTTTCTTGAAAATTCTTTGGATCCCTTCCACCTGTCTCTGATTTCAAGCGTGTATTCAGGACATTTCAGCGCTGTACTAGAGAGATAATTAGATGGAGATTCTATGTTTCATGTGATCCAGAGAACAAAAGATAGAGAGATTAATTCCACCCATTTGTCTGTTCATTCATCCATTCATTAGACATTATTGGTTGTTTTATCTCTAATGGTAGATAAGAGATGTAAAGATAAATTAGAAATGGTCCTCTCAAAGAGATCTCAAAGAGCTTATCAGTCAGTGAGCAAAAAACAAGCAAACAAAAAACAAATGATGCAATGGCTAATAGATGATTATAGAAATACAGAGGAAGTGTCTAAAGTGGGTAGAGGGGATAGGGCCAGCCACATTTTCTGGAGGAAGAAGTGTGTGTGTGTGTGTGTGTGTGTGTGTGTGTGTGTGTATGCGTGTGTGTGCTGAGTCTTTGTAGACAAGTAAGGGTGATCTGGGCCTACACTCACGGGAGATGGATCAGAACTGGAGTGAAGGCAGCAGGTGATATAATGCAGTCAGTCAGTCAAGAGCCAATCATATGTGAAGTTCCCAGAAGGAAAGTCTTTCCATGCTCCTAGACACGAGGTTAAAACCACTGAGAGGGCCTTTTTAGGCTCCTTACAGATTCTGTATTTTATCTTGCTTTTTAGGAAGCACTTTTAGTGACTTGTAGGAACCACCAAAGAGAATAAGCGGGCTGTGTGGTGCATAACTGAGTCCTCTAGAAAGATCACTATGAGGACAAGGTGTAAGGATGGTAAACCACAGGCAAAGACATATTTGATGGGATGCTATTGCAGAAATTTGCCAAGCAGGCTCTGGGCTCAGGTCATGATGCGAACAGAGAAATGGCACCCTTAGACCTGCACAAAAGAGGCCTCTTCAAAGGTCCAGCACTTTAGAAGCTCCCTTTCCCCCTTCCTTTGACTTTACCTCCTTCCCTGAGTGAATTATTGGAGACAAGGCAACTCACTCTCAGTGGCTCATGAATTCCCCAGAAGTTCCTGCCCAAGTACCCCTGAGAGTACTTCTAGAACCTCCAAAAGGAAGATCAGACTATTAGTATGAACAGCCTTAGACCTAAGAGTGGACAAAGCAGCAGGAAGGACTTGACATGCGTGCTGGAATGTTTCTCCATGTGATTCTGAGAGAGGAGGCAGGACAGTCTGGGGGCTGTAGGCCAATATGTTGTCATACCTTGGCACGGCACACCAATTTAGGGATTTCATGGTCATGAGGAGGGTGTAATTGTTGAGGTAGAAGAAGAGAATATACCTGACAAAGTTGTTTTTTATTTTTGTTTAACTTGAGTTATAGCTTTTAAGTCTTTATACATCTGGCACATGGATCTCCAACTATACTCTTACTCCAGGACATAGAAATGTTAGGGACAGACCCAGAGAAAAGGGACAAGAATGAAAGAGAATTAGAGCATTGCATGGCCAGTTCCTGGAATCCAGTTGGGTGACAAAGAGAATTCCCAGGTTCTGGACTCAAAGGGCCCTTACTTTTCTGAAGAGTAGATTTTCTACACAAGTGGAGAGGAGTGGGTCTCCCAACTGAAAATAGGACCAGCTGGAAAGAAAATGTTGGGAAGTAGAGGAGCATCAGATAGTGCCTCAAAGACAGAGCTGGAATCTCTTGGGGGTGGGGGGTAGGGCGGCGGGGTAGGAGGAGTGAGAATGCTGGGCTGCAGATAGGCTTGCTGTTGCCCAATGTGTTGCATACTCTTGTGGCTTCCAGATAGAAGACATAGAAATCAGCCTGCCAAACATTCACTACTTCAACATAGACTTGTCCAAAATGGGACTGATCAACAAAGAAGAGGTAAGAGAACTTTCAAATATCTAAAGCATACTTCTGCTCCAGCCTCCTTACGCCTGTTTGTAAACTTGGGGATATAATGTCTTTGACTGAAGCTCTTAACAGCTACTGCTTTGGGGAATGATATAGTTACACTGATCAAAGGTGTTTCCATGCCTGAGGCATTGGAGTAGCTTGGAATTGGATGACTCATTAGAAATGAGGATTGGAAGCTGCAGAGAAAAAAAGACAAAAGAGGAACAGAGTGTGCCCAAGGAAACGACTCTGAGCTCTGCTTCTTGGAAAAGAAGCACACAAGGTCACAGGTCACAACTTCATTATTCTAATACAAGGCAAAGAAGAAAGAAGAAAAGATTCTATTTTCACATCTTTTCATCATTTCTGTCCTTTGACTAGTAAATTCAGTAGCACACAATGGACATGGGGAAGTTGAGAGTGTTTTTGTGTCTAATTGCAAATGTACAAAGCAAGATGAGGAAATTCATTTTTTGAAAGAAAACATTTGGCTTAGAAAATGCACTGGCCCTGACTTTATTTTTAGCTGTAGCAGAAGGCTAAACCTCTCGAAGTGTTTGATCAGGCAGCCTCAAGTCCTGACTGGTGGCCTGTGTGGTCAGCTCCTGGGAGATCAGGACTGTGCCCATATTTTCAAAGTGGTAGGATTTCTCCATTTGATCCATCTGAAAACAAGAGTTGGATAACTTCTTTTAGTATGTGTTAAGCAGTGAGATATTGCTACAACTACCTATTGGGATTCTTTGGTGAGCAAATGCTAACAAAGGAATTTCTAGCCAGTCCTATGTTCTTGGCCAGCTGACCCAAGAGTCTTACAAGCTTTGAGTGAGGTACCTTGTTTCTGTTCTGAAAATACTGTTGGTGAACACCACTGGGCATTGTACCACCATCAGTTTCTGGTGGACATGGACAAGTGGCACTGGAAAACAAAGATTATGCTTGAGTATCTGATAGAGGTGACCTTAATTCTGAGTTGTAGACCTTAGCTCTGAAGGACACACTGTGTCCAGGCATTTTTCATTCAGCTGAAAGGAAAGGCATCAATACCTCAGAGCATGGCAAAGATGGTGATATTGAGAGTTTCATTAATTAGACTATGTAAAGTCTTTTTATAATGATTTTCTGCTAAAGAACAAGAAATACCTGAAAGTAATCCTAGTCATGTCCATCAGAGGCCGGACAAATGAGCTCCAAACAGAATCAGGACCAAGGGTCGTGACTAGATAGTGACAAGAAGAGGGTACTCACAGGCTCCCTGGAGCCTCAGGCTTGCACTGATCATTTTAAGGGCTTTCATGGGGGCTGAGACTGCAGTGTCCCTTCCTCTAAGGTGCCAGACTCACAACTCCCTCTTCTATCCCTGCTGGAGTCCTGGAGGTAGGAAGTCATGGATCCCTTTGGATCAGAGCTCTGCATAAAGGCCCCTAAGGGGCTGCACATGTTGTCCCTATGCCTTGGGGTTGCCTGGAGCCACACTTAGACACCTCACCCAGGTGTGCACAAAGTGAAGTCACCCTATGAGAAACAGGAAGTACAGATACACTAACAACAGTGAAGAAGTGACAAATGACAGGGTAGGAACAAAGAACTCTAAAAGCCCAGCTGTCTGGAGCCACTTAGTGTCTTGCTAGCAGCCATGTGGACCTCAGATGCTCCTGAAGGCATGGCTGGATTATAACACTGGACAATGATTGATGTCTGAAGTGAGTCATCCAGAAAAGGTCAGATTGTACCCACTACACTATTTTAAAAGAGGGATATGCTTTAGAAACATTCATATCCCAATGCTGAAACTTAAAAAAAAAAACCTTTTTATTTGCTAGAAAATCAATATATCTCTTAAATATTGCCGGAAAAACAAAGCATCAACATGATTGGAGGAACTTTACAGTAGGGCATGTACATTTTGCTACTTAACAAGCTGTTTTTGCCGCTGTTTTAATACTGATTCATAGGAAGGAGAGGGCTGTTTTGCAGTTTCTAAAGTTACCATGTGATTTTTCTGCAGGTCTTGCTGCCATTAGACAGTCCCTATGGCAAAATTACTGGTACAGTCAGGAGGAAGCTGTCTTCAAAGCTGTGACATTGCGACCACCAAGAGTAGACCATCCTAGCCGAGAAATTCCTTAAGTCATTCGTGATGTTGGAAATTATGCAAGTTCTCAGCCCAGTATATTAGTTTATAGTGTACACTTTCCTCTTTTATAAAATAATTTATTTCTTCATACCCAACTCAGCAAAAGGAATCATGTGGGTTATCTCATTAGTAATTATAATATGTTTTATGAATATAGTTTATTTTAAAAATGCTGACTATTAGAATGATCATAAATCAATATTTCTTTTTGGTGGTTTGTGCATTCCTATGTTGAAGAAGACATGGAATCAATTTAAGAAAAGGATCATGAATTAATGGAGTGTCACATTAATTAATTTGAGCATGAGTATAAAAAGCCATTTTGTTTTCATCTAACTGATGCTTCCAGGTAATAAAGAAAATGTAATAAAACTATCTTGAAAAGTTTTGTCATTGTGATTTAAATTGTTTGAATATTTGAATTTAAAAAATCTGTAGCATATGTACAATTGGTGGTTTATTTCTAGTCTGATACCACTCTTATGATTTTTTGTATTAATTTTTTATGACTTTGGAACACTTAAAGAATATTTAATACACATTGGGGTATTCAAGTCAGTGTAAATTGTTTTTCTTTGAATAATATATGCTGTAGGCACAAAGAACCACATTTAATAAATATAAAGTTAATATATGTATGGATGAATATACATATAGAATATGTACATGAATCTATCAGCAATGGTGATTTCTGAATAATGAGGTTGTGAGTAATTTTTCACCACATACTTTCAGAGTCTTCTAAGTATGAACACTTATTGCTTTCATTTTTTTTTTGAAGTATTTAGTACAGGGTCTCACTACACAGATCAGACTCATAGTGATCTTCCTAGTATCAGCCTCCCAAGTGCTGAAATTATAGGCTGGAATTATATCCATGCCCAGTCTCAATCACTGTCTCAGTGTGCCCTGGGGGTGGGGCTGGCAAGGCATGCAGGGGATCAAGCCCCAGTTGCTGTTTCTGCTTAAACAGGCACTTTAGCCTGCTGAGCTACCTGGTCAGCCCATTTATTGCATGATCAGAGAAATATTTGCCTTGGCTACTTTCTTGTCACTGAGGGAAATACCTGACACCCACAACTCTAAGGAGGGAAGGCTTATTTAGACTTACAGTCTGTGGAAGTTTCAGTCCACAGCTGGCTTCCTCCAAGGTAGGGCAGCACGGTAGAGGGGTGTGGCATAGGAAAAGGTCCCTGGCACAGAGGGCAGGAAGGAGAGAGGGACCAAGGGGAGCAGAGGAGGAATATGGACACTTGGAGACCATGCCCACAATGACCCACCTCTTCCTACCAGAAGTCACCTCTCAACCCTGTACCCAGCTGTGAAGCCATCTGTGGACACATCCAGTGAGATGCATTGCACACCCATGATCCTGTCACCTTTCCAGAGCTTCACCTGAAAGCCCATGAGACTTTGGAAGGACATTAGATAGAAACCCTAACACAAAGCTTCGTAAGTTGTAATTTCAAAAGCCCATGATTAAAACCTATTCATCTGAACAGTCTATAAAAATTTCTTCTTTTTAAAACTTCCCTTTAATTAAAAAAAAAAAATCTCCATTTCTTTCAAATGCTTACATTTGAACTCTCAGTATTGTTCAATAATTTTACTTTATTCATCATTATACTACTACAACCTAAAGAAGTAGAATTGTATTACTAACATTAATACCAAAGTGGTGAGATACCTATAGCAATTAACTTAAGAGAAAAGGTTTATTTTAGCTCATGGTTCTAGAAGTTCCCATCCATGCTCAGGAGGTCCCTTGGCCTTGGGCCTCTTGCAAAGGTGGTACATTACAGTGGGAACAAATGGAGGAGCCAGATCTTTCATGCCACAGCCAGGAAGCAAAGAGGAAGACACCAAATTCCCACAATCCCCTTTGAGAGCATGTGCACCTCCTACTGCTTCCCCGAAACAGCACTCTGGAGGCCAAGCATTTAATTTGTGATAGTTGGAGACACTTATTTAAGTGATAGCAATGGTATGAACGCAAATGCACCTAAATCCTGGTGCCACCTTTTACTACATTTGCGATAACTTTCCTCTTCTATAAAAGGGCAGTGAAAGTAGAAGCTACTGTTTATATTTGTGGATTGAAAAGCTCAAAGTTTGGAAGAATTATGGTAGTTTTTGTGCCTGACATGCAACATTTCTTGGCAAATGTTGATCGAATATCTTAAGTAACATTCGATCAACATGTCTTCTTTTCATTGCTATCAGGCTATGAGGTGACAATCTCCATCACTGGCTTGTGTGAATCAGGTGAGGATGGGGACCTTGAGTAACTAAACCCTACAAGATGCTGGAGGTCATTCACAAGCTAGTGACTACTTAGAACACAGGATAAGAAAAAGAAAATAACTTGTTAAGGAAGGTTTTATGCTACATTGATTACTCATGCTACCCAATGTGTTTCTACATCGTGTAAATTGCAGGGCCAAAAGGCTGGTACATTCCATTCCTCTGTTAATTTGATGATTCTGTTCCAAGAGGAGAGTTTAACATGAATGCCTAAAAAACCCCACAAACAACAACAAAAAACCTTAATTAGGCCTTTCTTACTTGATGTTCTCTTCTTTGCATAAATTTTAGATACTTTTTTTTTTTTTTTTTTTTTTTAAAGAAAAAGCCTATCTTCTAGCACAATCTTTGTTGGACTTGTTGGTGTCTGTGATGCCCTGGGAAAAAATGGCGGCAGGAATGAAAAAAAACATAGATAAGACAAGACCTTGGTTCAGGTGGTGGTCTGTTTTCTTGATTGACAAAGGACTACCAGAACAGTAGGGGCATTTATTTATACCTTTGCCAAGATAGTGCCATGTGACACAAGGTTGCCTAGTGACTAATAGCTGACATCAACCAGTCAGGAGGCTTCTCTCAGGGCTGATGTAGCTTGACTGCTTTAGGTGCATAGGTCTAGTCCTGCTTTCACATATTTGATCAATTTCCAGCTTCAGTGGCTCCCAATAAATCCTTCGACAGAAATTGTGGCACATTTCATATTTATGCATATTTTGCTAAGTTCCTGCTTTCTGAAGGATGTTTCCTTGGGGTCAGAAATGGTTTCACCTCTTTCTATTGGCTCTGGCATAGGAGTTCTCTTACAATACTCTCCCTTGTCTTTCTTCCTGTCCTTCCCCTACGCCCATCCTGAATACTTGCATGGAAGAGTAATGAAGGTGATTCCAATGCCATGAGCTGTGTGGAGGTAGTTAGTATAGTATTCTTTGGGCAGGCTATAATTTGGGACTTGTAGTTTTGTCAGTCAAGATTCTGCCTAAGGCTGTTCCATATCTTGCAAATCTTGTCATATAATGTTTCATAATGACAGAGACAGAAACTATGACCCATTCATTCCTTTTCTTTTCAGAGTTGGACTTATGTCCCTATTATTCTTTATTTTTAGAAAGTAATTTCTCTCTCCTTTTTAAACGTTCACATAATAGAAAAAAATCTTTTAAAGAAGCATTCTACTTATTTGTCATTGAAACAGAATTTATCTTTGTCAATCTCTTGAAGGTTTTAACTGTAAAAACTTGAACTTTTTTCTAACCCTTTTATGCTTTGTCCTAAAAGAACATTTCCTTTCCTTCAGACTCTGAGCTGTATGGAATTTTCCCTTGTAGCCACCTTTGTGAAACCTGTATAAGCTTTGTCTCCATGCCTGCACTTAGGAGGAAGCTTGTTTTCAAGGACATGGATTTCAAGCCACCTTAACCAGACCCCACTTCTGCTTCCAAAGGCCTCAAACTCAATCCATTTGTATTTATAGTCTTTATCCTCATTGGTTTTTTTAGGGCCTAGTAACCTGATATTCTTCCATTTTTCTAGATCCCTCTCAGAATTCTCAGTTTTTGGAGCCTATGGAGAAACAGTAGGAGTCTATTGAGAATGCAGCAGCTAAGGACCTTTTTTCCAGAAGGATCCTCATTGATGTCTCTCCAGGTGCCTCAACCTGTACTAAGAAACAAATTTACATTCTATCTTTAAAGTATGAAGTAGTCTTTTACAAATTACCACATAGGAATACATTCAACCTAACATAGAAGATAAGTATACTGCTCTCCTTTACATGAGAAAGAGAAATATAGTTAGACAAAAAGAGAACTATCTCAGGGATATTAGTTTCTTGAGGCTGCTCTGACAAATTATCATTAATTTGTGGTATAAACAACAGAAATTTATTATCTCATAATTAGCTGTAGAGTATACAAGTTCAAAAGCAAAGTGTTGGTAAGGTCTTGCTCCCTATCAAGACTTTAGGAGAGATTTTTGTCCTTGTCCTTTGGGGTTCTTGGTTCACGGCCCAGGGTCTGCCTCTATGACCATGTCATTTTTTTTTCTCTTCTATCTGTCAGAGCTCTCCTGTATGACTCTTATAAACACACTTGACTTTGGTTGGGGGTCCTTCTGGACAAAGTCATCTCTCCACCATCCTCGGTGTATGGTGATACCTTGCTGTGGTCACTCAATGGGAGATAACGCTCCCATTAAAGATGCTCAGGTAGGCTTCAAGGAAGATGGCAGAATGGTAAGTAGCAGAGAAAGCCTCTGTGAGATTTAAAGTCCAGACACTGGAACATAGCAACATGAGAAAGAAAAGAAGGAGGGAAGTAGGTCCCCTGAACCCAGAATGGATCTGATGTGAGAATTGAAGCCCATGGGGAGAGCAAAGAGAGAAACTTCAGTTAAAAAGGAGGAGGCAGTGGGCAGGGCCTTCTCCCTAAGCTAGGACTCCCTGTGCAGAGGGGCAGCTCAAACTTTCAGATGAACAGTGACTGATGGCAACCCCAGCAGCCTCCACAGAGAGACGCACAAGTGGAGCATTGGACACAGCGGACTGCAGCGAGCAGTGTGCGATCCGATGTCCCACCGGAGGACAGTAATTGGCTGGTAGCCATCTGGGAGAGGGGCCAACTTAACTCAGAACTCAGAATAACTGCTGGCTCCATCTAGTGGCCCCAGCAGAGTTCAAGCCAGCACAAGGCCTAAGAATTGTTGCAGGATGAATGTGTCTAATTCCAGCCTCACCAGGAGACACCAGCCTGAACTTCAGGAGAAATAAAGTTGCAGGCTTGCTGGGGTTCTGCATTGCTCTACCGCTATTGCTGGCTTGGCGGCTGTAATCACCATGGCCCTGGAGCTGGTCTCCCCATGCTGTCTACAACAACAGCAGTACAGCAGAGATAAAGCATGAAGTGAACACTTTCTTCTTTCTTTCTTTCTTTCTTTCTTTCTTTCTTTCTTTCTTTCTTTCTTTCTTTCTTTCTTTTTCTTTCTTTCTTTCTTTCTTTCTTTCTTTCTTTCTTTCTTTCTTTCTTTCTTTCTTCCTTTCTTCTTTCTTTCTCTTCTTCTTCTTCTTCTTCTTCTTCTTCTTCTTCTTCTTCTTCTTCTTCTTCTTCTTCTTCTTCCTCTTCCTCTTCCTCTTCCT